TTTAAGAGCGTATACTCTATATTTTGGAAATCAGTTAAAATAGCTTTTATAACAGATAATAATAATATTGTTCGTGAGTTTTCTCTCTATAATGCCCACAGCATAGTAAGATGCATCCATGTGTTTTCCACTAAAAAGTGGCTGAGATGGAATGTGGAAGTGTGTTATTTCAGAGGTGCACAGTAGCAGGAAGATGTTGTCTTTCTGCACTGAGCAGGTAATACAGACGGATAAATAGTAATTAAATACATATAGGAAACCATTCTTGGTTTTCGGAATCAATAAAATACATAAAGTGACTTAAGATGAGGCTTTTATTGTGCATAGAATTTGATAGGATATCTAGATAATATCACTTTCATTGTAACTCTTCTGAATTTTTCCCTTCTGTTTCATTTTTCTTTTTTGCTTTGCATTAAAAATCCATTAAAGAAGTAAAAGTGAAGCTGCTGCACCTTGTCTTTTATGGTATTAAAAGCCTTCTATCTATATTTACAGATTTTGAGTACACACCATAAAAACTAAAAGATTAGTTCTTGCAAAAAGAACAGCTGTATTATCCAAAGAAGTGACAAGGGAGAAAGGCTAGAATGGATACTCCATACATTTTATAATTTTATTCTAATGATACATGTGGATGGCAGATACTATTTCTCAATGAAGAGCAAAGCCAAAGGCAGTTCAGTACATGCAAGCTTTAAAAGTAAACTATTTTCCCCTTAGTATTTCATTTTTCACAAATATTTCCATCAGGGACAGTCCAAAAACTGTTTGTCGTTGAAAATAAGTTCCTATATAGCATAATAATTAAAAAGAGGCATCGTGTAATAGAAATCTGTAGCAAACATGTGAATAGTGAGTGGTTAGGCAGAGAGTTTTCTAAAAATGAAACCAAGAGTTCTGCTATATTTTAGAGCAGGCTTTTTATTCAATATTTATTGTGATTTTTATTATTGCCTGTTCACCGCTCTGAGTCCCGTAAGGGAGATAGGGCGGTATATAAATTTAAATAATAAATAAATAAATAAATATTCACATAAGCAAGTTTAGCATATAAAATAACAGATGGAGACTGATAATCCCTGTTACCTGAAAATCAAGTGTGTAGAAATGCAATCCATTTTGTTTCTGTAAAACAAATATATATTAAAACAGCTAATGATCTCTTGATCTCTTAACATACTTTAATCTGTTTTTTTAAATTTTGGAATGAAATAGTGTTGTATGAATGATAACATGCTGTCTATTAAGTATTTTATCTCCTGATCACTGGATCAGGTAGTCCTCAACTTACGACCACGATTGAGCCTAAAATTCTGTTGCTAAGCTTCACAGTTTGTTAAGGGAGATTTGCCCCCTTTTATACCTTTTCTTGCCATCGTTGTAAAATGAATCACTGTGGTGGTTTTCTTGCCATCGTTGTAAAATGAATCACTGTGGTAGTAACACAGTTTTTATACTGACTTTGTTTCTCAGAAGGTCGCAAAAGCTGATCACTGGACCCTCCCCGGGACACTGCAGAAATAAAGGCCAGTTGCTAAGTGTCCGAATTTTGATCATGTGACTGTGGGAATACTGTCTTAAGTGTCTTAAGTGTGAAAAATGGTTATAAGTCACTTTTTTCAGTGCCTGTTGTAACTTCAAAAGGTCACTAAATGAAGGGTTGTAAATCAAGAACTACCTTTATTTTTTTTCCCATCCAAAACAGCTAATCTCAACAAATCTATTCCTTATGACAAATAAATGCCAGGATGTTAGTAGTCATGGTAGCAATATAGTCTGAAAGAAGTATGCTATCTTTGTTCACTAAATGGAGTATGGAAAATCTATAGATTCATTGTTGTAAGGCAACGCATAACAATTTTATCCCTGTGAAACTAATAATTCTTAATAAGCTGTGAGTTCTAGTTTGGTTGTCATATGGATCCCTTTCATTCCTGTGCACATAAAGACTTTCCTTTGGTTCTCTGGCTGTAGATGCATCTGTCACTTCTGATAATATTTACTACAAATAGTAAAAGACTTAGATTAAGCCATATCTGATATTAAACATTTCTATATAAAAGCAGATTGTTACAAGAAGAGGGACATTAAGTAGGCAAGAACTCACACACACCCAAGCTTATTAGGAACCATTAATTTGGATATGATTGTGGAAGGAAGTTTGTCTAGAACAGTGGTGGCGAACCTATGGCACGGGTGCCAGAGGTGGCACTCAGAGCTCTCTCTGTGGGCACGCACGCCGTCACCCCAGTCCTAGGCCTTCAGCTGGGTTTTATAAAACCTTTTCACTTTAGGCCTCCGCCGCCGTGTACAAAAAAAAAAGGTTCAATCAATCAGTCAATTTCAACTTCTCGCGGGAAAAAAACAGATCTTGCAAAATTGGAATTGATTGATTGAACTTTTTAGTCCCACCCAGTCTGCTGTTACCACCGCAGTCACGCCCACCCAATGGGCCACACCCACCCGGCACCTGACGATGTATAAGTAGGTTTTGGGTTGCAGTTTGGGCACTCGGTCTCTAAAAGGTTCGCCATCACTGGTCTAGAAGAATTTGGTGGATATGAACTGTTCTTTCCCATCAATGGCTATTAGAGAAGCATGACTTGACCCTTCCTAATGTTCTTGCTTGGAAGCCAAAGTAAAGTAAAAATAACCGCCTCTCTGATAGTGATAAGTTCTGGCAAGTTGATTCACAACAGTTGTAGAAACAATTAGAATTACTATACTTTTTTTCACCACTGTACTAGCCTGCTCACCTGAAAAGAACCCCAATATAAGCAAAGGCATTCTTGTGGTTTTGTCTGTGTGTGCTTGGAGACCATAGTTTTGTTGGAAAAAAGAAAAGTCTAGGGCAGAGGTCCCCAACCAGTGGTGGGATTCAAATATGTGAACAACTGGTTCTCTGTGTGGATGGATGCCACTTCTGGAAGTCCGTTCTGGGCCTGGGCAACAAAAAATTAGCTACCGGTTCTGCCAAAGTGGTGTAAACTGGCTGAATCCCACCACTGTCCCCAACGTTTTGGGTACCAGAGACCGGTTCCGTGGAGAGAGGTTTTTTCGCGGACGTGCGTGGTTTTGTGTGCTGCCTGCATCTCGTGGATGGGGCATTGCTTGTTTGTGCAGACCAGTTGCTGGCATGCTGTGGCCTGTTACTGGTCCACAGACCGGGGGTTGGGGACCCCTAGTCTAGGGAGAAGACAGTGCAGGAGACCAAAGAACTGAGATGTTGGGGGACCAAGAAGAGGCCAATGGAGGCAGCTGTTTTAAGCTGAGAAAAACTGACTCATCCAGTCTGAAAAGTAATTGTTCTGTATGTGTGCGTGTGTGTGTTCTGTATGTGTGTGTGTTTTGTGTGTGTGTGCCCGTAAGAGAGAGGGGGGGAGATTAGAGTATCTGCTGATAACTGCTAGACTAAAAAGGTTGTAAAAACTTTGACTGAAAGTGAAAGCAAATTAATGGCTAAAATGATTTCAGCAGCACTTAAGGAAGCAGTTGCAAATATTAGCGAAGATGGTTTAATGGTTTGATTCAGTACCCAAAGCTACAAAAAGCTTAAAACAGTAGCCGAATAGGAAAATGTAGTGTAAATAGCAGAGTAAGTTAAGCAAGGCAGTAGAAATATATGTTAGTTAAGCTGTTTCCCTGTTAAGAAATAAATGTAACTGTGTAAGAGTGAACCATATTCCTATTCATCCTGTTTGTATCTCTACCATTCCAAATGAACACATGGCAATAATATTCAAAGTTTATTATGGAGAAAATGGAATTTTAGCAATAAATAAAATTGAAAGTTTCTGTTGTTGTTCTTTGGAACACATTGCCTATATTTTCCCCTAGGTCATAAAGTAATGGTTCAGATTTAAATACCTGTGGAAAGACTTTGGCAAAATTCTATGATTATATTAGGAGTTCCATTCAGTCATATGGAAATGTAGCAATATGCAAGCCGGACTTTTAGTTTGCATAAAGTACCACCAAATTGTTTGAAAAAAAAATCACACATTAGTAATATATAAATGGACTGTTTGATTTAACATACTGATCTAGCCAATAGTTAATCTGTTTTGGCTTAGTGTGATACATGGATCAGCCTTTGTGGTTAATAAACTACAGTTTATGACAATGTGTTGTGCGAAATATATCTCCATAGTTCAACTACACTACAGTATATTAAATCAAGCCATGACTTCATATGGTGTGTGTACTCTGCCTAAAAATAGGAGCATAGGGTTAGCCTAGTAATTTTTAATCACCAGAATCAGGCTTCTTTCATACAAAAAAAATCATTTTGATTTTCCAACATTTTTCATTAATGTAACTTTGTGAAAAAAGTTCTGGGGGTATTTTTAATTGCATAACTGCAAGTCAGAAAATGACAGAGTGGAGCTATAAATTCTGTCTAACCTGTGACCTCATGACTATCAGTTAATTGCACATTTCATTTCTATATAGAATAAATATAGAATAAATGAAATATAGAAAATAAATGAATAAAAATATAGATACAACTACAAAAGTATATTCAATAGCATTTACTATGCTGCTGTAAAGGATTTTTTACAAGATTTGTATCCATTGATCTATTAAAAAAACCTGCAATCTTAAAAACAATACTGCATTTGATAAAAATAATTTTATTTAAATTATTTTTTTTACAACTGGGCATATTTTGCAGCTGCCAGAAAATGAGATAGAGATGGTCAGTATATACATTATCTTGGTTTATTGAACAGATGTCTTTTTAATAATAGATATGAACCACTGACTTTCTTTTAAAACCGTTTAAATTTAAAGTCTTTTAGAATATTATGATATTAATGAGGCCCTTTTGGCAAGGACACAATCTTGAAAGACAATTGAAGATATTAAATAAATATTTATGAACCACTGACTTTCAAGGATAATCAAACATAAATCCTGTTCAAGGTTAGCTATTTCTTCATAGATGCCTCAACAATATTTATTATTAATAAAATATCTTTAAATCTTGTACCTAGATTAAAAAATTACAGCATGCTTCAAAAATTAACAAAGAACAAATGCTGCTGAAACGCCATTGCCAGGTATGGTGGAAAGAGCACAAAAGATTGCATGAAAACAGGTAAGTGATAAAGCTGAATAAAGTAATTGAAAATTTGGTAAAGCGATGAACAAAACTTCATATGCAGAGTCTGAAGGAAAGTGCTGTTTTAGATAAGAAAATCCTCAAATGACCCTGAAACAGTTATGCTATTAATCTATGGAACCAGAAGAATGGAAAAACTCTGTTGGGGAGGAGAAATAGACCTGATTGCACCCAGAGTCTGTACAGAGTTTCTATGTACAGATTGCAAGCTGCCCCTGGGAACTCTTAACAGGCTGGTTAGATAGAATTAAATCTGCTTCTAAATTCTGATTATTCTGAATATGTTTAACTACCAATAGAGTTCCCACATGAAGGAAGAATTGGGATAAGAATCAGAAAAGGCTAGTGACCCAAAAGCGCCCACACTTGCACGCACGCACATACATACAAATCGGGTACAAGGGAAAAGAGTATATTTTACTTGACCTGAAACCTTTAATTGCAGGCAGAAATTAGAATCTGAAATTCAAACAGTCTTTGATGAAGAAAATGAATGTTTTTTCGACTTGTGGGATTTGCGTAAGTAATGTGTCAATTTCTGGATTAAACTACTAAATTATGTAGTTACTGATAAGAAGGAGAGATAAGAAGAATGTAAGGATTAAGAAGGAGAGTGGGTCAAGAATAAAAAAAATCATATTTCTGTGTTTTTCATCTAAGTTCCATTAAGAAGAAACTTTTCCTCTTAGAAATAAATCCACTATCAGATGGCATGAGTATTGAGTGAACAATCTTTGCTTTTTTCAATGGACTGTTGTGCCCTTTCTCTCCAATAACCATGCATAATACAACAGCAGGAAAAGACCTACACCCTATACTATACATACCACGCTATGAATATTATGCTGTATTCAATCCCTTCTTTTTCTGGGAGCCTGGGTTTTTTATTCTTTTCAGAGACAAGAAGAGAAAATGTAAATTTCCTTTTCTATAATATAAGCTATTGTTTGACAAACCCTTATTAATTAGCTCTTTAACTGAGCAACACCCCTAATTTCTATTTAACTTTTAATAGGATATAAATTAACAAAAGGCTTGGATACATTTCAAGCAAACACAGTGCAACCTGTCTGGCAGCTAAGGGAAGATTTAAGGTACAGACTATTGGAAATGCAAACCAACAGCAGAAGTGTGGAATATCAATTTAATCCAGATGCTGTATTAAAAGAGGTTAGTTATTCAGTGCTGCTGCAGATGGTCTTTCCTCCTATATCTTACTATGGATGATCTTCTGTCCTATTTTCACTGATATTATCGCAATTGCATTATATTTGCACTTTTAAAGAAATACGCTGTTCAATCAAGGTATCAGTATGATATGTGACATAGAACTAATTTCAGAATCCAGCTTTTTAAAACTGTTTCTTTTCTCCCTCTGATACTTTAATCTTGTTTTCTGTTAGCCATGTTGAGAGATAGCATGCTACTGAACATAATCTTTTGTATTGTATTTCGGGGTACCATCATTCACTGCAGTAGATTTGAGATTGGACACCATGATTTTTTTTTTCTGTGTCCATGATGATAGATCTTGTGATCCTTCAAATAAATTATAAATCTCATCATTCCTATTATTGGTCATGTCGACTTGCTGATGGGACAGATTTTCTCACATCTCTCCTGATTCATATCTCCTCATTCTTTTCAAAAACATTTCAACTTTGAAAACAAATTCCTAAAACACAAATCCAAATCAATCTAGACAGTGAATCAGCATTTGTAAACACAGGTCTTGGATTTTTATATAAAATGGGCAAATCTTTGGGGGTGGAATGCACAGGGATACGTAGGGATAATCTTCTAGTTGATGTTAATGTTAAGGCTGGCCGTTGGTTTACTGCAGAATACATAGACTGAATGTCATGGTTCCGATAGATGAAACCAGTAAAAGAACTTCAAGGCAAGAATTCTTCCTTAAAGAACATTTTATTAGGAAACAAAGTATCAGCACTTACATAGTTGAACCCAAAACTGAGATTCCCTCCTCCCAGATACAAAGTAACAAGTTGCAATTCCCATCCCACAAACACTGTCATAAATCACATTCCCCAATTAAAGCCCAAGACACGGGCTTTTCTCACCAGCCTCTCAGCCCGCCAAAATCTTATCAGACCATGTCCTTGAGTTCCCACACTTCTGCATTGTTATGGGTAGCTAAACCCTCAAGCATTCATCCCCCCCTTTCTACATCTGAACTCTAAAAGAATAGAAAAGGCATGTTAGAAGCAAAAGTAAAAATGGCTGCTGATTCTCAGTTGTCAGAGCGATTACATCCAATTACATAGCTTTTTTGCAGGGAAGACCAAACTGTACATACTATAATTCAGTCTGATTTGTTTGTTAAAATCTTGGTCTGACCTATACAAAATAAATGCATGTGCATTCTAGAAAAAGTGTGAGTGATAATTGTGTACATGCATACAGCAATTTCTAAAGACTGAATAATATTTTTCAGTCCAAATACTCAGTACTACATGCTTTCCATTTTGTATAACAGGAATACACATAATGTTCTCTGAAAATTATTCTGTGTATCTGGTTGTATGCCTTAATCTTGGGATTTTCATAGAATGAAGTATTGATCTATTTTAGGAAGTTTTGTCTGATCCTAATTATTTTTTTCTTTGGACTTCGCTTTAATGTATTGGATTCAGAGTCAGATTGATTTAATGGCATGCTACATTAGCAAATTTAGGATTTTATACTGTGTATGTCAGTCTTACCTTATTAATAAAATATATAAGAAAGAACCAGAAAAGTTAGGGTTATAAACCTAGGTCCAATTCCCACTCAGGCAAAATCTGGATCTCCGACCAGCTAGCTCTTTAAATTTGACCTGCTTTATAGCGTTCTTGTGATGATATATAAAGGGATAACTTTTTTGGCATTATACTGCTATGAATTCTTTGAAAAGAGATAGGATAAAAGTAGAATGAATCAATGAGCAATGTGATGTTTTGTCAATACACGGGACCACATTTACAACATTCAGTCTACTTTTACTCATTAATACAATATTTCTCAAAACTAGATAGAGTTTGTGAAGAAACAACAGAAAGCAATTTTGGGAAAGCTTCATCTGGAAAGAATAGCTTTGGAAAAAGAGCTTGAGGAATTTATAGATGGAGTAAGTTCTTTGATTTTTATTTTTTTTAAAAAAAGTGATTTTAATTAGATTAGCAAGAATGTGGCAGATGGTCCCAATGTCTTTATTTCTATTATAGTCCCTGGCATGTACTTTAGAGGAAAGGACTACATTTGCACCTGAGATTCCACCACAGTTATTGGAGCTGGAGTGTCCATATCCTGATCTGAAGGCTTCTGTGTTTTCTGAATTTTATAAACTTGCAGATGACTATTCTTTGAAGATCCAAGAGGCTGATGAAGACTTAAAATCCATAGCGAGGTAATAGAATCTGAATTCATGTTTGTTTAAGGATTAAGTAAAATGTTTTGGTATTGGAACCTTCTGCTATTGCAGTTGCCTTTACCAAGGGAAGGGGGGGGAATGCCTTGCTGAGCATCATGCATAGTTGACCTTCTGTCCAGCTCAATGAGATTAAGTAGTCAGTAACTATTTGCACAGCTGAGAGAACTGCCTTTTTCTAAAAAGCCTGGACTGAAATAATAAGCAAAAATGTTCAAAGGAGTTGAAATACCAGGCGCTATCATAAAATTGAGTATAAATGTAATGTTTTCTCCCCTGTTTTATAACTTATTTTTATTCGGAGACAACTAAACCTGTTCATAGATTTCGAGCAATCCCCACTTAGTTACAATTACAGAGTCTTTCCTTCTGTGAACTTGGATTTATTGACCTAGATGGTCTCATTGAAAATCTTACTCAACTGAATCTATTTAGATACTATGGCAGATTCAGGGATTTGGAACGCTAAAACTCAAATGACCTTTTATGTCAGGAAAACTGAGATTGGTGGTGGTGTGAGGGACAATGTCTCCAGCTGTCTCACTGAGTAGTTCTACTGCCTAGCCCTCGATCTCTCAAATTCAAGAGATTAATTGCTGGAATAGTTTTTATGTTATCCCCGTGGTCTTTCATAACAAGACCTTTGATAATCCCAGCATTTGTGCATTTCAGCTCAGAGGAGTGACTTGGACAACCTTCTTATTTTGCACTTACAAAAGTGATACTTATGAAGGAGTTCCTGAGAAAAATAGAGAGAGAATGAAAAAAACCCCAGCTTTTAGAATATTACTTAAAAGAAGTAAACACTGACCTTTAAAACATAAAAAAGGTTTACAAAGTTGGCTTATTCGATCCAGGTTAAAATGTTTATAATTTTTTTCTAGCAGATATTAATGGGTTTTTCTTGACCAAGACTGAATGAGGAGGCTTTAATGATTGGTGTGTAGATAAGATATGGAAAGAAGAGATTTTTGTTACATTTTTAGAGAAAGTGATAAAGTGTGGTATTAAAATTGAAGGAAGGTGTTAAATGTGTGAAGGAGTTTCTGACATGAGATGAAGAGAAGATGATAAGAAATTAATTTGTGGAACAAAATTTGAAGGAATTAAATTTCATTATGTTGTTCCTGATAGCTCTTAATGGAATTTTTAAAATTAAATGTGAATGATGAGGCTTTAAAATATGTTTACAGTTATAAGATATGGGAGGAAGAGGTTTCTGTTGCCTTTTTAGAAAAAAGTATAAGTGACTTTGTAAAGGAATATGAAATTGATTTACTTTTTTAGGGTTAAATATAAAGTTATTTCTGGTAATTTTTAATGGACCTGCTGATAAAGATTGAATGATGAGTATTATTTGTTACAAGATAAAAGATGAATATGGTATGAAGAGTTTTTTGATTGAATGTTAGAGAAGATGATAAGTTACTGAAATTGTACTTGTCTTGATGAAGAGAGAAGTCATTTCTTTATATATGTATACGTGTGTGTGTATCTGTATCTGTCTGTATCTCTTCACCCCCTTTTTTCTTTCTGCACATTTTTCTTTGTTTCATTCATTCATTCATTCATTCATTCATTCATTCATTCATTCATAAAATTTATTGGCCGCCCATTTTACTATACGGTAATTCTAGGCAGCTTACAGTTACATATACAGTTATAACATAAAAAGTTAAAATCAGACATTAAAACCAAGGGGAGGGCGGGGTGGAGTGGGGGGAGGGAGTAGGTGGTATTCATTATTATTCAATCAACCAGTGCTGTTGCTCCACTGGGGCCCCAAGCCAACTGGCGGAGCCAGGTCTTTAGGTCCTTACGAAAAGATAGGAGGGTTGGGGGCTTGTCCCAACCTCACATTGGGGAATCAAGATGTTCCACAGGGTAGGAGCAACAGCAGAGAAGGCCTTCCTCCTGGACCCCGCCAGCTGGAATAATTGGGCTGACAGGACCCACAGCATACCTCCTCTACTGGCATGAGTGGTATGAGCCAATCTCAGTGCAGTGAGATGGTCCCTCAAGTAACCTGGATCCATGCCATGAAGGGCTTTAAAGGTGATCACCAACACCTTGAATTGTACCTGGAAGCAGACTGGTAACCAATGCAGCTCGCAGCAGTGGTGCTGCTGGGCCATTCTTGCCCTCCCCCACAACTGCCCATGCTGCCACACTCTGCACCAGCTGCAGCTTCTGAATATTCTTAGTTTGCATTAGTTATTTATCTTAGTATTTTTTAAATTTCAGTAAAAATTGTTATAAAAATTACAATGTTTGGGGAAAAAAGATTCTTGCCCAACTTACCACAATTATTGCAAATCTTGTTCTTAGCATATCTGATATGAGGGCTGCAGCTGTATCATTTTTTTCCTGTCTTTCTGTTTTCCATGATTTTTTTTCTGCCCCCTACCCCAGCCTTCCCTTTAATTCCAGGCTACTATGTCAGCTCCCTGGGATCCCCAAGACTTTATCTATTACATTCTTCCATTGTTGCCATTCTCTCCATCAGTGACTTACAATATAGGCATGTTTGTATCTGCTTTTAGTTGATATTTGTTTCTGTGTATATATATCTGGATATCTATGTATCACTGTTTCTTAGCCATGTGGGTTCTTTGTCATATATACATATGTGTATGCATGTATCCATATCCTCATAAGTATATTACTTTGCGTTTTAGTGCCTGTGACATGGGTCATATATCACATTAACATGAATTGTATGGATTTGGTTTACTGCTGCTGTGTGAACTCAGACATTCTGATTAGCTTAGAATTATTTGAGAACCAAGTCAGTTTTGATTTAATCAATAAACTTTGCTTAAATAAGGCATGATTTAGCAAAATGTATAAATTGGGATTTTTTAAAAAAACAAACCAAACCAAATTGGTTATTATCGTAAAGAAGAGGAAAAGGGAAAAAGAAAAGAAAAATAAATCTGTATCTAGCAGCCTGGCAGAACAAGGCAAAGGGGAAACCATGCTAAGCAAATGTTCCAGCTGTAACTTGGTTTCAACTAAGGCCATCACTAAATATATATATATATATATAATCAACATAATATGGAGGCAATTTTAAGCCACTCATTCTAAACATACTTATTTGTATTCACTGACACTTTCTTGATTATACTATTGTGCTTCTGTGAACTATAAAGCCAGTAGTTTGGTCATACCCATGATCATAATGGAGGTCTCCTTGGCCATTTTGTGAGAAAAATAAAATAGATCAGTTGGAGAGCACTTACTTTGCATGACTAATGTTTTAGCTAAATGTCTAATCTTGTGATAGAACTGGAGAAAGCACTGCCTGAATTCCTGAATATTTGCTGTCAGCCAGGATAGTTAGTACTGGGCTATCTAGGCAAAAGCATCTTCATATAATCATCCATTTTGGAAGCTTTTTTAGCCTTTCCCTGCCTTCTTCTTGATTTTCTAATTATCTTGCAAATTCAGTTTTGATTGAATCACACTAAGATCTGGGAGAAGAACTTCACATTGTTAATTGTTGTAGTGCTGTGGCAGAGGATACCCATTTTATCAAACCAGAACAAGGAATGTATTATCTCTTTGTGCAAGTATGGATTCATTGTGCCTCTGTTTGTACACTACTGTCACCAAACAGCAGCACAGAGAATTGGACTAGGCAGAATGCTGTGGAAAGCACCATGTTGGGAATGATATTCTCCCAAATTGATATGTTGAGCTTTGTTATTGTGGAAAGTTAATCTGAAGAAATGGGGAGGAGAGAAGAATATGGTTGAATGTGAAACACTAGTAAAATACGGAATGCTACCCACTTTTCAGACAAAGGGAGAGAAATGCCAGAACAAAAAAATTGTTTGTTTCTTGTTTTCTATGTGCCTTAAATTGATAATGTTTAATTTCATTACACAGTAATGCATTTCATACCTTTGTTTTTCTCAAAGCATATAATCATGTGAAAAAGTAAGCATACCCGATTGAATTTTTTTTGCCCTTTTCAATGTATTTCAACATGCAGGTGTCTGATCTTCATTTCAATAATATTGATAGATTATTAAAAAAATATAATGTAGCATTTACATTTTGTAGTCCATTGTATAATTTAAATAAACATAAATGCAACTTTTGCAAGCGGAAAAAGTACGCACGGTCACTNTCATCTTTAAAGCGCTCCATGGCATCGGACCCGGATACCTTCGAGACCGCCTCCTGCCGCAGATTACCCCCCATCGACCTGTACGCTCCCACAGAGTGGGTCTCCTCAGGGTGCCGTCAGCCAGACAGTGCCGGCTGGCGACCCCAAGGGGGAGGGCCTTCTCTGTGGGAGCTCCCACCCTCTGGAATGAACTGCCCCCTGATCTCCCTTCCTTCTGCCGCGCCCTTAAGACATGGTTATTCCAGCTTGCGGGACTGGCCTAGGGGAAACTTTTAGAGGGGTTTTAATTATATTTTAATTAGATTAAATTTAAATATTTCCTTTTTAACTAATTTTTAAATTGTAATGTTATTTGTGTATTTTTATCCGATTGTTAGCCGCCCTGAGTCCGCAAGGAGAAGGGCGGGATATAAATTTAATAAATAAATAAATAAATAAATAAATAAATACACCTCCATATTTATCACTACCTCAAATATCTAAATATCAGGTCAGTGCAAATGATTAGAACTTTGTTAGAGAGAATCTGGGAGGCATTTGTCTTGTGAAACTTCAGACACTTAGTTTGATTTGCTCTTTGTTGTTGAAGTGTTTAGTATCGCCATACCAAGATCAAAAGGCTACTTTGCGGCTTCAGACAGGTTATAGACGCTTACAAATCCAGGAAGGTATTTAAAACAGATTGCCAAACAATTGGACATCAATCATTCCACTGCCCGGAAAATCGCCTACAAGTGGAGAAGATTTCAAACAATTGACAAGTCCTTCCCAGCAAGTCCAGTCTCTAAAAATCTCAGAATTTCATCATGTGATCTACAGGTCACTCTCTCCACTATTGATG